AGATTGTAATACTCAATTTACTCTTTTGAATAATGCATGCACTGAAACATTAATGACTAGCAATGTATCCAATTCTGATGCTGTAACTGTACTCAATAAAGTTCATAATTTTGAATCATTTCCTGTTCAAAAAACTGATATTATGTTGTGGCACAATAGATTAGGACATCCTAACATTTCAGTTCTCACTAAAATCCTTAAAGACTTGAATCTACCATATTCAGTCACAAATCCTGTTTCCTTCTGCCCAGCCTGCCAGTATGGTAAATTACACCAGTCAGTATATCCTAGATCTACTTTTCAGGCCCTTAAGCCACTTGATATAGTGTACTCTGACCTTTGGGACCTTCTCCAGTACCTACACCTGAAGGTTTCAAACATTACATACAATTTTTAGATGATCATAGTAGGTTTACATTGATTTTTCTGTTAAAAGCTAAATCTGAAACCTATACAGTGTTTACACAGTTTCATAAGCTAATTGAACGACAATTTGACACTACTCTCAAATGTGTTCAGACTGATTGGGGTGGGGAATATAGGAGTCTAGTACCTTACTTTAAAACTCATGGAATCCATTTTAGGCACCCTTGCCCTCACACTCGTCAACAAAATGGAAGGGTTGAGAGGAAACATAGACAAATTGTAGAACAAGGCTTGACTTTATTTGCCCAAGCTAGTATGCCTTTCAAATTTGGTGGCATGCTTTCCAAACTGCCACATATCTCACAAATAGGCTGCCTTCACCAGTGTTGTCTAATCAATCACCTTTCCAAATGTTGTTTCATAAGAATCCCAATTATTCTGATAGTAAAGTGTTTGGTTGTGCTGTATATCCCTTTCTTAGGCCATATAGCTCACACAAATTCAATTTCTATACTTCCAAATGCACTTTCATTGGCTATAGTTTGCATCATAAAGGATACAAGTGCTTAGATGTTTCTGACAGGATTTACATTTGCAAAAGTGCTAAATTTGATGAACTTGATTTTCCTTTTAAACATTCCAGCCCTGTTATTGTTCCTACTTCTTCTAATAACTCATCAAATTCTCCTATTTCTAATGCTTGTCATGTACCTCTTCCACCCTTGAACTTGTCTCACAAACAACCCACTATCTCTATGTCCTCTGGTTGTCCTGCCACACAATGTCAGTCTAACTCTCAGTCAACACTCTCACCTGACTCTATGTCTCAGATCTTACCTTCTTCTGCATCCAAAACAGAGCTCCAAACACAGCCCCAAACACAGCAGATTTTAACTTCCCCTGCATCCAAAACAGTGCAGAAAACACAACCCCAAACACAGACCATACCTTTAGTGTTTTCTCCCATCTCTTCACCAATCTCTCTCCCATCCAATACCTCATTTGATACTGTTCCACCGGTAGTTGAGTTGACTTATCCTTAAAAGTTATCCTCAGCAGAAAACATTCACCCCATGGTCACTAGATCCAAAGCTAGGGCACATAACACAGTTTTAGTCACCTCCTCTTGTCTAGATTCTAGGGAACCAACTACAGTTACAGAGGCCCTTTCCCATCCATCTTGGAAAGCTACAATGCAAGCCGAATTTGATGCCTTGATGGCTGATCATACTTGGGAATTAATTCCAGCCACTTCAGATATGCATACTGTTGGTTGTAAGTGGGTTTTTAAGGTTAAAAACAATCCTGATGGCACTATTCAGAGGTTTAAAGCAAGGTTGGTAGCTAAAGGATTTTAGCAAACACCCGGGATTGATTATCTAGAAACCTTTAGTCCTGTTGTAAAATCCCCTACCATTAGAGTAATCATGAGTTTGGCTATGAGTTATGGTTGGGATGTTCAGCAAGTCGATGTCAACAATGCATTCCTAAATGGTGATCTTACGGAGCAAGTATATATGGTTCGGCCTGAAGGGTTTGCTAGCTCAGAGTTCCCACATCATGTATGTCTATTGACCAAGGCCTTATATGGTCTTAAACAGGCCCCTAGGGCCTGGTTTGATAAGTTGAAAAAGGCCTTTATTGAATGGGGTTTTGTTCATTCCATTGCTGATCCTAGTTTGTTTATTTACCAAAATAAGAACACCACTATGTACGTGTTAGTCTATGTGGATGACATACTACTAACTGGGAATGATCCTCAATTGGTTCACGAAATTGTCCAACACCTGAATACTCAGTTTGCTTTGAAAACATTAGGATCTTTAAAATACTTTCTTGGTTTTGAAGTTTCTCGGGATGAATTGGGCCTCCATATGAGTCAAGCAAAGTATGCTAAGGATCTCTTAGTCAAGACCAATATGATTGACTGCAATCCTTGTTCTACGCCTATGTTAGTTGGTGCTAAACTCTCATTGGATGATAGTGAGTCCTATGAAAATCCAGCACTGTATAGGAGCACTATTGGTGCTCTCCAGTATCTCACTTTGTCCAGACCAGATATATCCTATGCAATGAACAAGTTGAGCCAATTTTTAAAGGCTCCCACCCAAATGCATTGGCAAGCCTGCAAGAGACTACTCCGATACATTAAAGGCACCTTGAATTTCGGCCTATTTTTCAGCAAAACACAAAGATTTAATCTAGAATGTTTTACGGATGCTGATTGGGCCAGCAACCTTCATGACAGGAGGTCAACCAGTGGGTGTTGTGTTTTCCTGGGCAATAACCTACTACAATGGACTTCCCGAAAATAGAAAGTGGTCTCTTTATCCTCCATTGAAGCTGAGTATAGGGCATTGGCTCAAGGAGCTACTGAAATAACTTGGTTCTGCAGTTTATTCACTGAAATTGGCCTACCCCTTAGTGAAGTTCCTGTTATATGGTGTGACAATCAAAGTGCAGGTTCAATAGCTTCAAATCTTATTTTTCATGGAAGAACTAAACATATTGAGTTGGATGCTCACTATGTGCGGGAACAAGTTAAAACCAATAAACTTAAAGTTCAGTATGTGTCTACTAAGTATCAGAAGGCTGATATATTTACTAAGGCACTTCCCAATTCCAGGTTTGAAAATTTAAGGGATAATCTCACCATTCGAGCTGCTCCTATCTCTCTTTCAAAATCATCGGCTGATGGGTCAAAGTCGCTTACTGATATATTTGCTAAATGAGTTGAATTTCCTTGTTGATTCCCTAATGTTAACATGTTTATGGTTTTTTTTTTACTGCAAAATGTATACTGATGGTGCTTGTGTTCTGACTGGAGATGTGTTTCTAGTTGAGCAGACTGTTGTTTAGTTTGAGCAACTGACTGCTATTGCCATAATGAAGGGTGGATTTTTTTTTGGTTGAATATGGCTTTGTTGTTCTGAGTAGAGAAGCTGCAACATGACTGGTGCTATTATGCATAGGTTCTGTTTGTGATGAATATGGTGCTGCGACATGTGCTGACTTGTGTATGGTTGTGGTTGTTCTGAGTTTGAGAAGCTGCTAACTGATGACATTATGAATGTGTTCTGTTTGGATAAATATGGAGCTGCAACATGTGCTGAATTGTTTGGTAATAGTAGTTGTTGTTCTGAGATTAAGAAGCTGCAGCATGATTGATGCTAATCTGCATAGGTTCTGTTTGTGGAAAAATATGGTGCTTTAACATGACCTGATTCTGTGTATGATTGTGGTTTTTCTGAATTTGAGTTACTGCTGATGAGTATGGTGCTATGAGCTAAACATGAGCTGAATTTTTGCGTTTGAGGAACTTGTTGAATGAAGTTGTTGGTTGTTTGGATGAAATGAATATTACTGAGCTGAAGTTGCAGGCTGGCTGTCCTGGTTTGCTGAAGTTTTTTTTAAGTGCTAGGTGTTCTGGATAAATACTGCAGAATAAATGTTGCTGAGCTGCAGTTGCTAGTGTTCTGGTTTGCTGAATGTTGTTGAGCTGTAGTTGTTGGTTGTTTGGTTTGCTGGTTAAATAAATTTGGGTGTTCTGGATAAATATTGCAAAATAAATGTTGCTGAGCTGCAGTTGCTAGTATTCTAGTTTACTGGTTAAATAAATTTGGATGTTCTGGATAAATACTGCAGAATAAATGTTGCTGAGCTACAGTTGCTAGTATTCTGGTTTGCTGAATGTTGCTGAGCTGTAGTTGCTGGTTGTTTTGGTTTGCGGGTTAAATCAATTTTAATTTGGGTTGTTGGTCATCGTGACTGACAAAGTGTTCTATGGTAGTTGAGTTTACAAGGGAATATTAGAATATGGTTTGTTTGTGCATTTGAGATTTCAGTGGAGGTCCTGTTTACAAGGGAATGTTAGAGTATGGTAGTGAGTTGAGGAATCAGCGGAGGTCCAGTTTACAAGGGAATGTTAAGATATCGGTTTAGTTTTTAATGTTTTAATACCTGAGGGATAAAACTGTAATTTCAGTTAGATTAACCAGTTGACTTGTTGACTGGGGTCAGTTTGTATTTTACCAAACTGTGTAACAGAATTCATTATTAACAAAAAACTACACGAAGATATTTTAGAATTTTCTCTCGTTTTCTCTCTGTTTCTTGCATTTTCTCAACACTGTTCTTACTTGCTTTATTGTTTATTTCAAGCTCTCATTATTCATTTATAAATTGTTAATTATTCATTTGAAAAGTTAATTAAACATTTAAACTTAAACAAAATAAAACAAAACAAAATAAAAAAAATAAAAAATAAAAAGAGGGTTAACCCGGCCCAACCTGTAGCCTAACCTGGCGGGTTAGGGTTGGTGGTCCGGGTTGGGCCAGCCAATTCCCTAACATTGGTGGGCCTAACCCGGCCTGCCAATGTTACCGGGCGGGTCAGGACTGACCCGCCATTAACAGCAACCCGTTGCGGGTCGGGTCGGGTCGGGTTGCTTTTCCACCTCTAGTGGTAAAGGTAGTTGCCAATGGGACTGTGTGGTTGTGGAATTGGGCTGTGGTATTTCAGAAGAAGTAGAGTTTGTGGTAGAAAAACCTTGAGCAAAAGGAAAACAACTTTCATTGAACTTAACACTCTTGAACAGTGTAGATTATTGTAAGGATTTTCAAACTTTGTATTTGTGTAAATTTATTTAAATGGCTCCTGACAAATGTTATTTAATTAGGTGGTGGAAAACTTTAGATGTTGAGAATAAGCCACCTTTTGCAAGAGATAGAGTGGTAGAGCTATACTTTTGGGTAATGGGAGTGTATTTTGAGCCTGATTATGGGTTGGCTAGGAGGATTCTGTGCAAAGTGATTGCCATGTGTTCCATTCTTGATGACACCTATGATGTACAGGGTACAATTGAAGAACTTGAGCTTTTTACTGCCGCAATGGCGCAATTGAGAGGTTTGATTCTTCTATTTCCTCAATTTTTACTATTGTCATCTCCATAACTCATTCGTATTTATTTATTAATTTTTTGTTTTTCAGATGGGATGTCGGCGCTATGCATCAACTGCCAGAGTATATGAAAATTATTTATGGGGCTCTCCTTGACGTTTACGGAGAAATTGAGAAAGATATGGCCTTCAAAGGAAAATTATACCGCCTTGATTACGCAAAAGATGTGGTAAATTTCATTGAAGTTAATTTTTTAGTGTGAAAAGCAATTGAAGCATATAAATTCTTGTAAATGATTTATAATTGTAACACAATTTGTTACTATTTCCTTATGGTTTGTCAGATGAAGATTTTAGGGAGAAATTTCTTCAACGAAGCTAAATGGTGTGACAAAAAATATGTACCAACAATTGAAGAGTATTTGTCTGTTGCATTACTTACCAGTGGTCACCTAACTTCAGTTGCCACATCATTTGTGGGGATGGGAGATGTAGTAACCGAAGAATCATTTGAATGGGTACTCAGCAATCCCAAAATCGTTAAGGCCTCCGCAATAATTGGCAGACTCATGGATGACATTTCAGGTCACAAGGTATTGCATTAAATCATTTTGTTCACACTTTTCATTCAAGCCTAATTCAGATTAGTGATTTTTTTTTCCTTCAATTCCGCATTATTTATTATGTGTAGGATGAGCAAAAGAGAGGGCATGTTGCTTCAGCAGTTGAATGCTACTTGAATCAGCGTAATGTTTCTGAAGAAGAGGCAGTTACATTACTTGGCGAACAAGTTGAGGATGCTTGGAAAGATACCAATGAGGAATTTATTAAACCAGCTGCTGTTCCAATGCCTCTGCTTGAACGGGTTCTTAATCTTACACGCGTTGGTGATCTCCTATACAAAGAAGATGATTGCTACACCAATTCTCATTTGATGAAGCGCCATGTTACCTCCTTGCTCACGGATCCTGTACTGCCGTGAAGATTATTCCAGGGACTGAATAATATTCCATTTAGTACATTCCAATTTGCACATGGAATAACTATATGGTTTATTAATACTAATAAATAATGTCCCTAATATTTATTATTAATAAGGATCTAAGGTTCTATCACTACTCGGCTAGAATCCTTTTTCCTTTTGCCTCTACGGGTAGAAAAGTAGAAATTTGAAGTACAAAAGAGACTAAAAATCGCCTTGTAGGGAGATCAATTAATTCTAATGCCTATATTCTAATCGGTTGTCACGTAAATTTAATTTGGTTGGCTCGAAAGGTCATATGACTGAATTTAACCGATAATTTAGAACCATATTGTGATCTTCATTAATTTTTAGTCCCTACTATATTGGAAGTAGATCCAAAATTATTGGAAGAGATCAATGATAGCAACGTTAGTGGTTGAGGGAATTGTTGTAAAATGACGTCAATAAATATTAAAATCAATAATACGTGAAATAAATAAAAAATATATGAATAATATAACAAGTTAGCATAATTTTCTATAAAATTTACATTTATGAATGAGAAAGAAATCCATTAATATAAGAAAGAGCAATAATATCAAAATAATTTAAATAAGATAAGATTCAAACTAACAAGGTAGCTTTTAAGGTGACGAGCCAAAGTTCTTTGGTATAACTTTTTCTAAACATGTTATTTTGGAAAAAAAAATATCCTTTAAAAAAATGTTGGTATAGCCAATTAATCTTGGACTATCATGTTAGTGCTACATACACGTGCCACAGGTTTAGTTGGTTGAACCAATATCCATTGTAAAAAGGAAACTCTCTTTTGATCTATATCTACCATCTATATATATATATATATTGTAAGTATTTTTGTCAACTTATAAGTTTAGTATGGCAACACTAGTTTTGGTATGGGGACTTCATATTGTATTTGCACAATCATTTTTGTTTTTATTCTAGTATCATAACTCTTTGTATCGATGTGACCACACTCAGTTAAATCTATTTTCATGCATGTCGTGTTGGCACATCAAAGTTTTGTGTGATGACACTCGTCCAGCTAGATATTCTTTACACATGTCATGTCTCTATTAGATGCTAGGATTTTATCCATACTTGAAATATGTGTTAGTAGTCCATATACATTTGTCATTAACCCATATGGTGTACTGGAAAATTCGTTTTGCTTTTTCAGTGGTCCCAGGAAAGTTTGGTGAAAACTTTTTCAAAATGGCTAAACACAAGAGTTACATGTTGGCTGGCTATTCCCTTGCATTGGTGGGCAAGTTTCTTTATATTCTTCTTCTCTAATGCATTTTATTTTAAGCCTAAATATTCCTTGATAATTCTCTGAATATCCTTTGAGGTTTTTGTTGTTTTCATTCGGGTTTCATTATGCTTTGGTAGGCTTAATATACCTTGTTTAACTCTTGCTTGTTTGAGTCTTGTTTGGAACGTGGTTCAATTGTTGCATGCTTGGAGGCTACTGGAGCAGAAGTGTGTCTTCGATGTTGAACCTTAAGAGGAGCTCAAGGGTGACTAAGTGGTCTCGTGGTATGAAGCTAGCTGTGGTGGCTTGATGGTCAACCAAAGAGTGAAGGTTGAAGTGTTGTCATAATAGGGATTGTTTTTCAACTAATGCTTATCTTTAGCTTTGTATTTGAACACTAAATGTTTATCATAGTGGATTAGCTTTGACTAGACTTGGTCCCATGGATGTAGGCAAGTTGCCGAAACATGTAAACATGTGTTATGTGCTTTACATTTTGCTATGGATGTTTTGTTTATGTTGATGATGAAAGCCAACTTATAAAGCACAAATGAACAAGTTAACACATTCCGCATAAGTTTAATCAACTTAGTAAAGTGATAAAACTTTCACACACACACACACACACACACACACACACACACACACACACACACACACACACAAGCACAAATGAACAAGTTAACCCATTTGCATAAGTTTAATCAACTTAGTAACGTGATAAAACTTTCACACACACACACACACAAAAGCACAAATGAACAAGTTAACCCATTCCGCATAAGTTTATTCAACTTAGTAAAAGTGATAAAACTTTCACACAGACACAGACACACACACCTACACCTCTCTATAGTGATATTCAATATAAGAATAACTTTCATGTAGTCATAAAAAATTTCGGTCTAACTTAGACTAGCTATAAATAAGAATAAACTCCACATTATAATAAATTATATTTTTTTAAGTCATGTCTTAAGGAACTTGCCTCCACATAGTAATAACTATTTGTATATTGCAAAAAATATATACTATGTTACATTAAATGTTTAAGATGAAATAAAATATCTATTTAAAGTTATTTAGGAAAATGATTTGTGTTGTAGTACTATGTATTTGTGAGACTTTGAGCAAAGTAAGAAAGAAAAAGGGAGAAAGGTAAAGAAATACATGAGAAAGAGAGAAATATGAAAATTTGGTATATTAGTTTTTCTTGATATTTGTTTAGTTACACTGTACACTTTTATAGTGTTAACATGAGTATAACAAATCTCTATCTAATCTTGTTATTGGTAACTGAATGTTAACAGAAAGGTAACAACTAACATATTGACAGATGACACTTTTACCCCTTTACTAACATCTTCCCTTAATTAAGCTGGACCTAGGAGGAGATATAGACACTTTCACTCCTTTACTAACTTCTTTCCTTGAGCTAAACCTGGGAGGAAGTACAGGCACTTTTACCCCTTTACTAACATCTTCTCTTAAGCTGGACCTAGGAGAATTGACAACACCCCTGCTCAAAATTAATCAGCAATAATCAAAAGAACTAAATCATCTCTCGTAGCTCCAACATTCAGTAGAGTCAAGTACCAACTGCATTAATCACAATCAACACAACATGTTCAGTACAACTGCATTAACCATAATGCTCCTGAAGTAGCTCATTTATCACAATCACAGTCTACTACTAGTTCAATTACCAACTTCATTCACGTTACAAATTATCAACACAACATGTTTAGTTCAACTGTATTAATCACAATGCTCATGAAGCAGCTCATTCATCGCAATCACATTTTGCTACTAATTATCACAAAGACATGCCAATTTCCACTCTGTTGTCAAATATCAAATGAATATCATGCTTACTCTGTTGCCTTTCACTCTGTTGTAAAAAAAATCAAAAGAACATCAAGCTTAATATGTTGTCAATTTCGCATTAGTAAGTGAGTTATCAGCATCAACAACATTANATATTTGATTTAGTGATCAGATTTTTATATTGTGTCCATTATTTTGTTCATGTTGAATGTATAATGTAGGTCAATACAAAATGCTCTTAATAAAAATACATTCTGCAGCTAATTTTTTAGTAGCAAAAAGTCATTTAGCATAATTGCATTCCGCTGAAGGTCAATATGAAATGCTCTAAAAAAACACATTCTGCAACTAATGTTTTAGTAGCAAAAAGTAATTTAGTATAATGGCTTCCATATTCAGCGTCTAAAAAATAGTCGTGCAAAACTTTTTGGATTTCACATTCAGCGTCTAAAATGATTACAATTAACCACTAAATTTTAGTCACTAAACAATACATTTGTCCACTAATAAAATTGTCGTGAAAACTTATTGGATTCCACATTCAGTTTCTAAAATGACTATAATTAACTAATAAATTTTGGTTACTAAAAGATACATTCAGCCACTAATAAAATAGTCGCGAAAACCTATTGGATTCTACATTCAGCGTCTAAAATAATTATAATTAACCACTAAATTTTGGTCACCAAAAGATACATTTGGCCACTAATAAAATAGTAACGAAAACTGTTTAGATTCTACATTCAGCACTAAAAGTATTACAATTAACCACTAAATTTTGGTCACCAAAAGATACATTCGTTGACTAATAAAATAGTTACAAAAATCTTTTACAAAATTACCCTTACACCTTTGGCGTCTAATTTTTGCGGGATTCGTGACAAATTATTAAACACTAAAACGTACATTTTGCAACTAATTGATTAGTCGTTATATAATTTTACCAAATTACCTTTGAACTTTTAGCGTCTAAGTTGAGGGACTAATTTGACCAGCATTTAGCGACTATTTTGCTAGTCGTAAAAAAAAAAAAAAAAACTTTTCGCGTCTAAACCAAAATTTAGACATGCTATGAATCTGCGACTAGCCTACTGCAACTAAGAGGCGACTACCAAATTTAGATGCTAAAAATGGCTTAGCATCTAAATGTGACTTTCTGCGTCTAATTTTGCTAGACGCTGAATGCCAATTTTCTTGTAGTGTGTAGTGTGCAAAAGTAAGGGTCGATCTCACAGAGATTTGTAAGCAATTTACTAATCCTAATAACCTTACCTTAAATAAAACTAATACCCTAAATTTATTTAAAAGAATTATCATAATTCAAATGAAAAACAACTAATTAAAACTAAAGGGTTTTATTAACCTCTTACTCTTTAATTTTATTTTATATTAGTCTCGGTTCCTGGTTTCGATTCCGGTTCCTAACTATAGGAACCAGAACCGGAATCGGAACCGCACAATAATGATTCTAAAAATTTGGAACCGAAACCTACCTGTTGACGGCTGGTTCTGGGTAGGAACCGGAACCGAACCCCGGATACCTGCTGGTTCTAGTTCTAATCGATTCTTTTGAACACCCCTAGCTATTACCACTTGGCTTGAAATTGTAGTTGTTACCTCTTGGCTTTAAATTATAACTATTATCTTTTGGCTTAGATCCATAGCCATTACCTTCTGACTTTGAAGTTTGAACCGTAACTCTTATCTTCAGGCTTTGACTTCTCAACGTATGGTTTAGAGCCATAACCATTTTCTTCTGGCTTAGAATTATAACTCTTATACTCAGACTTCTTTTCAACGTATGGTTTAAAGCCATAACCATTACCCTCTGGCTTGGAACTATAACTATTAGTTACCATTAGGCTTTGACTTTTCGACATATGATTTGGCACCATAACCATTACCCTTAGTCTTTCAACATATGGTTTGACACCATAACCATCACCTTTTGGCTTGGAACCATAATCACTACCTTCAAGCTTTGACTTTTTAATGTATAACTTGGAGCCATAGCCATTATCTTTTGGCTTAGAACCATAATCCTTTTCCTCAGGCTTTGTATTCTCAACGTATAGTTTGGAGCCATAACCATTATCACGTGACTTGGAACCATAGCCACTGCCCTCAGGCTTTGGTTTTTCACCGTATGGCTTGGAGCCATAACCATTGCCTTCTGGCTTGGAATTGTAAAACTTTTCCTCGGGCTTTGACTTCTCAACATATGGTTTGGGGCTATAACCATTAGCTTCTGGCTTGGAATCGTAACCCTTTACTAGAGGCTTTGACTTCTTAACATAGGTTTGGAGCCATAATTATTGCCCTTTGGCTTAGATCCATAACCATTATCCTGAGGCTTTGACTTCTCCACATATGGTTTAGAGTCATAACCATTGCTTTCTGGCTTGGAATTGTAACCCTGAGACTTTGGTTTGTCACCCTCCGGGTTGGTGCTATAACCATAATCACCTGCAGAAGCAAGGATAAGCAACGAGAAGAGAAGCAAAGAGCTTGTGAAGAAGATACGACTAAGAGCCATCGAAATATTGTATGAAAAAAGAAATGATGTATTGGTTAATTGCTCAAGGAAGTGGCCTTTTATAGATCATAGGATGGTCCATTTCTCTTATAAATTATCAACTGAATTAAATATACAAGTAAAACAATACACTGCTGCACGATTTGAGAAGAAACTCTCATCTCTTTGCCAATCAATTAAACGAACGTGATTGCCTGAAAAAGCAAGAGGTTTAATTTAGTTGCCACTCATGAATACATATGTAGTTGCCATGGTGTCGTGAAACATTGACTTCAAAATGTGTTGAAAATTTGTATAATATCATAGGATGTCAATAATTTAGGAACCAATTATTATAGTTGGTCAAAAGTCACAGATATATACAATTTCTCATCATATATATTATCGTCAGTAATAATAACTTGGCCACTAATTGGTTTATGAAATGAAATGTAAAAAATGACGTATGGTTTCTTATGTAAAAAAACTTATTTAGCTTAGAATATCATTAATTTATTAATGTTTTGTAGTCTTGATTGTCAGTTTGTTACATTCAAATTTTCATGCGCATTCTCACACAGATTCAAATGAACAGACGTTACTAGGCATATTTAGGGAAGACAAAGATATCGATGCATGAATACCCCAGCTCGGGTGACATTCGTGGGATTAGAGAAATCCCAGTTAAAAAATAGAAAATAATGTGAGTTCCTTTAGAGGTAAGACGTGAATTACTAAGTGTGATCTAGTATTAATTATTGATCAAAATTCATAAATGTTGTACACTAGATCTAGAGTTTGTTGATTTTTTTTTTTTTTTTTTTTAAAGCATGAAAATTGATTTCAAGTTCGGTCCTGGCTCAGGATAAATGCTGGGGGCATGCTTAATGTAGATGCAAAAAATCTACCGTCATGAAAATATGGTATGAGGCCACTGATAATCTGCTAGATCTGCACATATAAAAGGGCAAACGTGAAGCTTCTAGAAAATACCAGGGTGGTGTTTGCCATAGGCACTCTGACGCTCAAGTCAGCAAGGCTGAAAGAGATTATTTGATAAGAATTAAGGAGATGAAGAATTACCAAGAGTCTTGTCGGAAGCTAGGACTACGGCAGAGGCATTGGGTTCTTGGGAGCAAGAGCTTAAGGAGCAAATAGATAGTTTTAAGTAGCGTAGATTAACTATGGGAGATTGCCTCCTAATGAGAGGGCAAGCCTTTGTTTTTATAGTGAACCTAAGGGGTTGGAATCTTAGTAGGACATTGAGTGCTCTTTTTTGGGAGATAATCCCTATCAAGAAAGAAATATGATTTCTTGACCTTATCAGATCAAGTTTAATAGTTTGAGTAAGATTTGGAATCTTAGTAGAAGAGGAAATAGAATGGGATTCTAATTTCCTATTTATAGACTGTTGAAGGCTAATGGGCTGAAACCCAGTTTAGCTTAACTTATAGGATAGCCCAACTCATAGAGTGGGTAGTTTGCAAGGTGATTTTAAGCGTAGACCCAATCAAGATTGGGTTGAGGCCTTAGGCCGTGACATGTTTATTTTGTTATTGGGCCTCGTCAAGCCTAAGACGATTTTTGGCCCTAACACTTAACACATGCAAGTCAGATGGGAAGTGGTGTTTCTAGTGACAGACGGGTGAGTAATGCGTAAGAACCTGCCATTAGGAGGGGAACAATAGCTGGAAACGGTTGCTAATACCTCGTGCTGATTAGCAAAAGAAGGAAGAGATCTGAGGAGGGGCTCAGATTTGATTAGCTAGTTGGTGAGCCAATATATATAACCTATTGTTACTAGTTTTATTGTTTAACATTATATGTGATATATGATTTATTAAGTTTACATTTTATCACTTGCCAGTAGCATTTAGAGACCTTTACACCTTTGTGTAGTTTACAAGGATTATTAATTAAAAGAAGAAGAAAATTGTCTACAAATCAGGTTTCATGAAAAACTTGATTAGAGAAATCGGATGTACCATTAATTAAAAAAGAAAAAAGAAAACCATAAACACAGAAGATATTATTGAAATAAGAGAATTCAGATTTAATAATTAATTTGGTGGGATGATTGAATAAATTAATAACCTATTATCAATTAATTAAACCAAAATGTTCAAATTCAAATAGCTAAGATTGCATTATAGATTTCATATATATATTTATAATGACCTGATTATCTTGATTTGGTGTCACCTTATGACCATGTAAAAGAAATGTTTAAGCATATTACAACCACAGAACAATTCTAGGAAATTTGAAACTTTGATCAAGAAATTAAAATTTAACCTTCAAATATCAAGAAGCTTTAATTATTCTCATCTCATGAGTTGCTGTGGGATACATAATGGCACAATGACATGTTCATTACACACATGATCATTTTTCTCTTACAACAAATCAAAGAACACAATGAACAACAAGAATTTGGAGACATTAGAAAATTGAAAACGAAAACAAAACCAAAAGTAGGACATAGGACGTTTGCGAATAATGAATAAATTTAGTAACCAGTTGGTGCTGACTTACAGCCAAAATCAGTAGGTTTTGGCTTTGAGTCATAGCCATTATTCTAATTAGGTTTGGTGTCATCTTTATGATATTCTACCGATTTTGATTTGTAGTTATCCACCTTATCGACATAGCTATTACCTTTCGACTTGAAACCATAGTTATTGCCTTCTGGTTTGAAAGCATAATCGTTACCTTTTGCTTTAATCCATAACTGTTACCTTCTGGCCTGGAAACATAACCATTATCCTTAGGCTTTGGCTTCTCAGCGTATTGTTTGGAGCTGTAACCATTACCTTCTAGCTTGGAACCTTTACCCTTATTCTCCGACTTTGACTTCTCAACGTGCAGCTGGAAACCATAACTATTACCTTTTGGCTTTGAACCGTAACTCTTTTCTTTAGGCTTTGACTTCTCCACATATGGTTTGGAGCCATAACCATTACCTTCTGGTTTGGAATCATATCTTTTTTCCTCATGCTTTGATTTCTCACCATATAGTTTAGACTCATAACCATTACCTTTTGGCTTGGAATTATAACCCTTATCCTCAAGCTTTGACTTCTCAACATATGATTTGGAGCCATAGTCATTACCTTCTAGCTTAGAATCGTAACCCTGTTCCTCAGGCTTTAACTTCTCAACATGCTGTTTGAAGTCGTAACCATTACCTTCTGGCTTTGAACCATAACTCTTCTCCTCAGGCTTTGACTTCTCAACATGTTGTTTGAAGTCATAGCCATTACCTTCCGGCTTAGAACCGTAACCCTTCTCCTAAGGCTTTGACTTCTCAATGTGTTGTTTGAAGTCATAACCATTACCCTCTGCCTTGGAATCATAACCCTTTTTCTCTGGTTTTGACTTCTCAACATATGATTTGTAAAGGAATGATTGAGAATTGTAACCTTGAGACTTTGGTTTGTCACCCTCAGGGTTGGTGCTAAACCATAATCACTAGCAGAGGCAACGATAAGCAATGATAAGAGAAGCAAAGAGGTTGTAAAGAAGATACGATTAAGAGCCATGATTATGAAATATTGTAGGAAAGAAAGAAAAGATGTATTGGTAAATTGCTTCAGAACCAATATGGCCTTTTATAGATCACAGCTATGGTCCCATTTCTCCTATTAATTAATTATCAACTGAATTAAATATACGAGTAAAACAATACGTTGCTGCACGATTTGAGAAGAAACCCTCTTCTCTTTGCCAATAAATTATATGAACGTGATCACCTGAAAAAGCAAGAGGTTTGATTTAGTTGCCGCCCATGAACATATATGTAGCTATTAGAACTTAGAAATAAATCGATTCTAAAGATTATGTACTATTTATATGTCATGGTGTCTTGAAACATTGATTTCAGAACGTGTTGAAAGTTTTTATTATTTAATAGGATGTCATCATATAATTCAGGAATCAATTTATTATAATTGATCACAATTCAAAATTTCTCATAATATTATTATTGGTGATTTACTGATCTTACACATCTACAGTAAAACCTCTCTATAATAAAAATTATGGGACTAACTAATTTTTTTCCTACGAGGAGGTTATAACTTAGTGGAGGTGTAGTTACAAAAATTATTATTTTGATTTCTTAGTTTATAATTCATGTTTTAGTAGTACAATATTAAGATTTCAATTCATATTTTAGAAGTACTAGAATTTTAATTCAGTGCTTCAATTGCCTATTTTTTAAACGGATAGAAGATCATATCTTGGAACTAGCAAAAATAAGTGTCATTGGTAGAATTGTAAATGCAATTGATGCACGGTCAATTGATGTAAAGCCACAGACAATTGTCAATGGTTTTAAGCACCGTAAAATTAGTACCACCAATGTCAATGAATTGCAAGTTACAAATAAAGTGGATAAGGGAAATAAAAGAGTCATTGCAAAATTGAGTGATCAGATTCGACAACTTCACTATACTAATCGAATGATATTAATGTATTCCTCGATCATTCAAATGAGCAACAAATCATGGATGTTTTAACCAAAGAAGAAATCATTATTGTAATTAGACAAGAAGAGAAAGTAGATGATCTTGAGGATGATAGTACGGAAATACAAAAAGTTTCGTGCCATGAAACTCTAAATTTTGGCTTCAACAAAAAAGTGTCTATGCTCGCAAGTTATTACGTACTCGTAAGGTAAAAGATGTGGTAACAATTCTAAAGCATAAATCATTGTCCCAAACAACTTTAAATAAATATTTTATTTCATCTTAAACCTTTAATGTAACATAACACATACACACTAGGACTAGAATTTTTTATGATTATGTATAGTTTATTCCTATATAGAGTATGACTATAGGTAGCTTTTACTATATTTTTTTCTATAGCACCACATAAAATCCGGCTAACCTCTCTTCTTGTGGTCGGATGACAAACCATTTAACCATTAGAGTTAGTTATACCCAAGGGTCTTGTGTTCGAGTCGTAGGAGAAGTACCTTCTATATTTGTACAATTATCTTGATCCATTGGACTTGT